TTTATGGGATTTTATCGATTAAGGATTTAAATATTTGCTTCCTATCATCAGATCAGATCAGATCAGTTCAGTACTATTTCTGAAGCAGGCAGGATGCTGTACTAATTATAAATACTGTAATTTAATATTATATTTTCGTTCAAATATTAATAAAAACAATATATACCAATTTGGTTACATTTATGAGAACATAATATGTTCACATTTAACCTGATACATATGCATAACATAACAATATTTGTCCTATGCAAAATGATATAAGACTAAGTGTTGCACATGTACAACAAGGAAAAATGTATGTTAAAATGATACATAGTATGGTATATGGATACAAACTATGTTAAAATGACACATAGTATGTAAGGATACATAGTATGGTATATAGATACAAACTATGTTAAAATGACACATAGTGTGTAAGGATACATAGTATGATATATGGATACAAACTATGTTAAAATGACACATAGTATGTAAGGATACATAGTATGGTATATAGATACAAACTATGTTAAAATGATACATAGTATGTAAGGATACATAGTATGGTATATGGATACAAACTATGTTAAAATGATTCATAGTATGTAAGGATACATAGTATGGTATATGGATACAAACTATGTTAAAATGATTCATAGTATGTAAGGATACATAAGATGTAAGGATACATAGTGGGGTATATGGATACAAACTATGTTAAAATGATACTTAGTATGTAAGGATACATAAGTTGTTGTAAGGATACATAGTATGGTATATGGATACAAACTATGTAAAATGACATAGTATGTAAGATACATAAGATGTAAGGATACATAAGATGTAAGGATACATAGTGGGGTATATGAATACAAACTATGTTAAAATGATACATAGTATGTAAGGATACATAGTATGGTATATGGATACAAACTATGTTGAAAAAATACTTAGTTTACATAGTTTGTAAGGAAATATACTATGTTATAAAGATACTTAAAAGGTATAAAAATATAAGATGTTACATAGTATTTTGTATGTGTATGATGTTGAAATGACAGGATACATAATATATATGGTACATAGTACACATGTTATGTTAAGGGATACATGGTATGGTGTAATGATTCATAGCACGGTATAAGGATACAAATGTTGAGATGATACAAAGTATGTTCTTGGCATATATATTACACAGTCACATATTATGTGCAAACATAATCACCACATGATACATTGTATGTTCAAACGCATCAGACAGTAACAAACCTTCTTTCTTTTCAGTTTTCTTTGCAGAGAGGGGTTTGGGCTGTAAAAATTCATCTTGTGGTTTCTCTTTTGGCCTCCCTAAATTATTTTTAAAAAATAATTACAAATAAAAGTCATGCAATGTTACAAAAGAATGCATCTAAAGCAAATAATATCTTATTACTGGTATAACAAAAATATCATGCTGTGGAAAAAATTAATTAATACTTAAATATTTGAAGAACTCGTGCATGTACAAAATATATTTTGTTGTTCAAGGCTTAATTACCAATTCTTAAAAACTATATTGCTGTATATTGGGAGTTCAAAACAGTGCATATTTTATCAGGATGGGCTAACAGCAAAAAAAACGTGTTGGTATAACAAAACTATAACAGGAGAAACAACTCAAAAATAAGGTGTTTAAATTATTCAAAAACCAAAACAAAAGAAAAAAAACAAAATTTCATTGTGCATAAATTCAAGAATTAAACCTTTGAATGCTCTGATTTTCTGTACAAGATTTTCCAAATTTTTCTATAATTACTTTGACCAAATTAGTACATATAGTTGCCCTTATATAGAAAACATTATGGAGGTTTATTGTGACTATCGTTGACTGTGGCATTCAAATGGTTTAAGTCTGAGAGTAAACCAAGAAAGCATGTGTTGTCAAGGTTACAAGCAAGCTACTCAACCTTCAGAGCTATGATTAGCAATTGATGGTGTTACAAGCTTGACTTGAGTGGATCGTTTTGACAGGGATCCAGTCCCTGCTGTTTTTTTCTTGGATTTTTTAGCCTCCGGTTCATGAGATTTAGCCGGTTCTGGTTCTATCTTCTCTTTTGGCTTACCTATGGTTACAGTAACCATAGTGATATATATTATAGTACTTTTGTGTTGTTAGTTAATTATTCTGTAAACTTCTTTTAATAGCTAATATTTGTAAATGGCAATGACAATAAACACAAAATGTATGATCGTTTAACATGTCATTGGCGTTATTTTAGCTGGGTGTTGCAGAGCTCTCACATACAACTATTTCTAGCATTGACAATTGAACAGTTTACTTGCAAAACAGTTCAAGTGTAACTTTACTCAAATTTGAACTTGGGAGTTGAGAAGGTACCAAATTATTTTGAGGCAAAAATTGACAGAATAGCATCGGGGAAAATCTATATTTTTCACCAAGCGCAGTAAGGCATTTGTGGCAAATACATTTCCATGCATCCGTGAAGCTTAGCTCCCAAGCTTATTATAAAAGCTTACAATTTTGAAGCGTATTACTATCATCAATAAATTTAAATTTATTAGGCAGATCAATTTTGATATATACTGGAATTAATTTTCGCTATTTTTGCTGAAAAAATGATTCAGTGAAAATAAAATTCAGTGAATATACCTTTTTTCCCATATTTTACATTCAACTGGTCAAAAATCAGTGAAAATAAATTCCATACAAAACACCCAAAAAGTCATTTCAGCAAAAATTAATTCCAGCTAAAATAAAGTATTTTACAGTAGTGGTTTTGAAAGCAAGCTTTAGCTAGGTTTAAGCCAGCCAAAAAGTAGGTGAATTTATAGGATATGTTAAAATCGTATAGTATATTTCTTTTCCTTATTTTTCCATATGTTGTACAAATGTATAGTTACTAAGCCAGAAGCATGCTTATCACTTTGTTTTCTGAAATATGATGAGAGAGGGCGCTCTTCAATTATGTTAGCCATGGGACGGAGATGTTACTTAGAACCTGACATATATCACAATTTGAAGAAAACGGTCAATTTTTTAAACTTTCCATTTCTCTGAGAAACTGCTGTATACTCACTGTACAATCAGCAAAATATAACTACATGTAATTTGTTTTTGTAATTCATCTAATCGTTAACTTGGATAATGGATTTAATGAGTTCATGGCAAATCAACAGGTGTTGGAATTCATCATCTGCTTGCCCTCTCTGCATGCAGACCTTGTTAACTGGTAGATTTACAGTATGACGTATTCAAGAAGATGTACTGTCTTTGATGTATTAGTATCACATGTGTTTATGTTAAAAACAGAGGAGCACCCATGGTCTAACCTTTTCACCACCAGTTCCCTCTTTTCATCACAAATTCACAAAATAGTCCTGTTTATAGTCTGCACTTTCCTTCAGAAGATTAGGACAAAAATAGTCACATTTTGTTAGGTACAAACTGTCTATTGGCTCCAAAATTAGGGTTCATTTCCAGAAATATTAAAGAATATAAGAAAAAAAGTGCAGAAAAATTTGGGTGAGAAAGTCTGGTGGTGAAAAAGTCATATTTTAATAACTATAAATGTTTTTTGTTTTTTTTTACATCTTTAGTTCTTTAAATAAATCATGAGGAATAATTGTTCAATGCATATATGGAGCCAGAAAACAGAAATTTACTGCAATGTTGGATACAGCATCATCACAGGTGTCCCATCGCTGCCACCAGCGTCAAAGGCAGTCATTTAAAATAAATTGAAATCAGTACTTTCAATATTTTTTGTTCAATCAAAGTCATTTAACATTTTGAATTCATTAATTTTTCCAGAAAATGTTGCATTTTTACCATAATTTCGTTGTTAGATGAACCAAATGATCGTGATCAATTTTTTTTTTTAAATATCAAAACAATTATGTTTGTTCATAGAAGGTGCTAAAAGCTAACTGGTGTTCAAATGACAACAATAGTTTGTTGACCCCAGACTGAACAGAATTCTTCAAGCTTTCCATGTTGTGTAATTTATTAATTTAAAAGATCAAAACTTTATTAAATATTTATGCTGTCTGATGATTCAGTTTTATTATAAATACATTTCATTGGCGGAGGGGAACTTATAGAAAGAAGAAACCAAACGTTTTGCTAGAAACAAGTTGTAATTCAACATGCAAGTTTTTAAAAACTGGCAAGTTGTAAAAAAGTTGTTTTTCAGAGGCTTAAATTTAAGTGGATAAAATGGAAGTAAAACAATATAATCAGATAAAAAAAGCTTAAATTCATGCATCTGAATATTTAGAACACTGCACACCCAGCTGTAATGTTCTTAATACATTAATACATGTTCTCAATAAAAAATTGATATTCCTAAAAATCAGGCTACCTTGGCTGTTTTAAAAAATAACCAGATAAAATAGAATGCATTTAAAATAAATCATAGTCAGCTGGTTAAAATGTTAACAAGTAATATATACTTTTATAAAGCAAGAATTGAAGATAGTCATAGTTAGATGTGGATTGCAATTCTTAATAAAATTAAATATTAACTCACCAACTACAAATTCTTTCTTGGTTGCCTCTTTACTTCCAGCTGAACCTTTACTTTTCTCACTCTTGGAACTTTTCCGGCTTGCCAGTTCCTGTTTTCTTTTCTCCTCCTCTTCTGCTTTCCTCCTCTCTTCTTCAGCTGCTACCCTAGCTGCAGCTTCTGCAGATTTTTTCAATTGGTCCTTATTATCTTCTGGAACGCCCTTCATCAACCGAGCAGATTTTCTTGCCTCGTCTCGGGCTACTGGTACATCAGTTCGAAAGTGAGTGATATCCAGATCCAATGTGCCATCGTGTGATCCCCTCTCAGAAGGGATGGACTGCTGCGGACCCCGGCCGCTACCCCCACCTGTAGAACCAGGAAGTGAGGTCAGTAAGAATAACAGGGTTAGATGTAGAATTTGCTTTCATGCAGACATTGGTGATTATTTGTGTATATGGTGACAATTTATCCATTTAACCACCATTGCCAACTTTTGCCACCATCTACAAAATGAAATGGTGATAGAAAATGACAAAACTTTATGATCAAAAACTAGAAGAAATATCTGACACAGTCTGTATGTTCCAAAATGACGAAATGGAAGCAAGATGTTTAAAAGGTATTAAATCACATGATGCGAGATGGCTGATATTCCCAGGTCCCCAAATTATAAAAAAATTGATTGATTCACAGAAAAAGAATCCCTTTAAAAGTATAAACTTTCTATGAATACATTCTAGACCCATACATTATATCCAATACATTTCAAATGAATTGAGTAGAGAATGACGCAAATATTAAAGCTATGAAAACAATCGGTGGTTTTTGGTAGCCAAATCTTTCTGAAATCGAAACAATTAAAGTTGGATTTTTTTCTCAACAAAATACCTTTTATCGCAGAAATATAATTGAGTGACACAAGCAGGTTTTCTCAATTTTGATAATTTCTCCTTCACACAGGAACGAGTTTCTAATCCTCTATATAATTGTAATGCATTGTGGGTAAATAGGGAAAACTCTAACTCATTAATTCCTAAAAAGTGTTGTTAACCATGAATTTTAACAAATCACCTGCTAGAGCTTTCTTATAATATGAGGTTATTATGAGGTCAGGATACCAAAAAGTTTGCATGAAGACGGTACAGTGGGAGTATTGTCCAACGCACAACGGAGGTGGTTGCGACTGTGTACTGTCTGTGTGCATACTTTTTGGTATCCTCGTAATAACCTTATTAATATACCATCTTTTCCTCCTAAGGATACATCATGGGAATGCGGAAATACAAAAAGTTTAGAACAGATTGATCAAATTTCTTTGTATGGGGTCCAGTCCAACTCTGGGAGCTGCCACATTTGTTTTTATTATCAGAGGGCGCTTATATGCATAATTATCCATATTTGGAATTTGCATTTCCTAATATGGTAGGGTGAAAATACCCAGTGTAATACCTCAAAATTACGGCACGCTGAAACTTATGGCGTTACGGTGAAATATAAACAATCTGTGACAATCTGAGGAGGCATTCAGCAGTAGATGCATGGAAGGTTGCATACTATGACTTCTAATTGTTGGTTTCAATATTTTTTTACCAAAACGTAGTTTTGTGTTTTATAGATTTATACATGTAATAAATATATATAGATGTAAAAAGTTGAAAGATACAATTGAACATATAGTGCTGAAATCTGAATTTTACTATCTGTTTGATGTGCAGCAAGATGGTGGCATGTGTGAGATGAAGGTGTATGATTGGGTACAAGACAATGTTATGTACGATTCAACATGTGTAGATTAAACAAAATGAAAACGCTATAAATAAGTGAATCAACCAAATATTAAAATGCTTTGACTGCGCAATTATTTAACGGAATACTGTGGTAACATTGAGTGTTTGTTCTGTGCAAGATACTGCAACAAAGCAACCCATGCATGGTGGTGATGGTGGACTGGAAAAAAACACCATGCTGGAATCTTAATGTATACCTTTCTTTTGTTTCTCTGTTGAGAAAGAGCAGCGCATTAGTGGAATTTGATGAGAGAAAAAAGTATGATTAGTATTGGTATGTAGAATTATAAGAATCACAGAGTAAATTATAAGGAATGTCAATTGTACGTCTTTAAACCCACTTGTAATTCAAAATGGCTGCCATTATTTGGCTGAGCGCTGCACAAAAATCGTAAGGTCAATGTTCCCCATGGAAAGTTTGAGTATGCCATCTTTTTTTTGGCTCATATCACATCTCAGCAAAATGTTTATAGTTTCCACATTATCGCTAGTCAGCCAAGTCCATTTCTTAACCTTTTCACCACCAGTTTCTTCTTTTCATCACAAATTCATAAAATAGTCCCGTTTATAGTCTGCACTTTCCTTCAGAAGACTGAGACAAAAATAGCAAAATTTTTTGAGTAAAAGCTGAAAATTTACTCAAATTTTGTCTGTTAGCTCCAAAATTAAGGTTCATTTCCAGAAATATTGAAGAATATCAGAAAAAAAGTGCAGAAAATTTGCGTGAGAAAGTCTGGTGGTGATAAGGTTAATACATTGTACAAATTAAGGGTTCCATGTTGGATAATGAAACAGTGATAGTGTTGATGAATGCAATGTTGAAAATTTCAACCAAATTTAAATTTGTATATTATGAAAACAAACTGGAATGAAATTTATTTTTTATCTGATGCATTACATTTTTGTATATGAATGTATAATGACACATACAAATGTTTTTTTTTTATCCAGTGATTTAGACAATGTGTTTTCAGAAATGGAAGAAGCACACACTACAAACAATGCTGTAAAACATCACTCATGCTGAAAGTACTCTGCCACACATGATATCTGTACATTGCAAATAAAACAATCAATTTCTAGATTCTTACAGAAAAATGTAATTTAAAACTTTGTATCTTTGAAACAGTATTCAGACTAAAATCCATTGATGTTCAATAAGAATTGTTTATCATTTGATTGTGTCAATTCAATTTTCTTTAATACATGAAATTATATATGCATTAATTTGAAATTTGGCAAATGTTGTGGAAAGTTGTTGCGGAGCTTATTGAAGAATTTTTTTCTCATCAAATTAATGCCTAAACTTAATGTACCAAGGAGAATTAAATTGATATCATCTGCACATATAAATAATATAATAATAATTTTTTTTCAAAGTGCGAACATTTTTTGGGAAATTTGTCTAGACACTGTATTTAGCTACCAATTAAATAAATTTGCGAATGGCATGCATTAAAATATTTTGGTAAGAAGAGACTTATTTAAATAATGAGAAAATAACACCTTAAAATGCATGAAGATATATCAATATTCAACACCAGTTTAACACCGTCAGAGGAAATTGAAAACAATAAAAAAAGACACCATGCATTAAAGGCCACTAAAAAAAACCACCATGCTGTTGCCATGGCAACAAGGAACTCACTTGCTGGGTGATAAATATGGCCTTCTTTGATGCCACCAAAGGCCTCTTGAATGCTCTTAGCACTTTTAGTGCTGCGAGCACTCTTGATAGAGGGAGTCGGAGAGTGAACACTTTGTGTGTCTGAGACTGGAACATCCGCCGTTACGGGTTCAATTTCATCGGCTTTCGCCTCCTCCAAGTTTAATGACCTGGCAGATGCCTCTGATTTTTGGTCTGTTTCTAACTGCTCGGGTTCTGGTTCCGATTCCAGCTTCGCTTTCTTATTCTCATCCGCAACTCCTGGAAATTAGTGATGTTAGTTAGCATTGCTATGGTGATAAATTGATGAAGATGATGAGAAGTGAAAACAAACATGAATCAATGAATGGATTTATCGAACAAAGGTGAGAAGATTCTTTCAAAAACAAAATGTTCAGAAGAAACAGAAAAAAACATAATCATAGAAAGAAAAGAACTTAAACAAAAATATAAATAGGAAAACGTTGAAGAATAAAATGGTAAAAATCAAAATAGAGGAATGAGTTTTGAATAATCAGAAAAGAAAAA